CTGCGCTGGAAGTGTCAATGGCACTTTTCATCAGTCCTTTGATGTGAGGACAAATTGCAGGTGTATAAAGCACTGTCTATGCTAAAAAGACAAGGGGAGACTGTCCTGTTGCTATTTTTTTGTTACCCATCTGGTTTTTTAGCTTTCACAAATCACAGGACTTGGCCCACATACGCCTGAACAATTTCCTTGCAAAATCTTGACAAAGTCCACAAGTATTGTCATATTGGCTTGAACAGGCTTGAAGACTGGAACGCAAGCTTTTCTGACTACTTGCATTACAGCATGCCCCGGCTGGGCCAGATGCAGCACACGAGCAGAGCTGTTCATTTTCCATCTGAAGATGAGGAAAAACTTTACAGTGAGGGTGACGGAGCACTGGGACATGCTGTCCAGTGAGGCTGTGGAATCACCTTCTCTGGAGATATTCAAAACTTGCCTGGATGCTTTCCTGTGCAACCTGCTCTACATGTCCCTGCTTTGGCAGGGGGGTTGGACTAGATGATCTCCAGAGGTCCTGTCCAACCCCCACCATTCTGTGACTCTGAGGTTCCTCACCTGCATACACCAAGCCTTGCTGTACACAGACACACAAGGACGTACACAGTACTAAGACAGGTCTATGCACCATCTCTGCACTCTGAAGAGGCTGCCCTCATACTAAATTACACTTTCATAAACAATGCAATGTTTTGAAACTGAATCAAGTTGGACAAATAATGTGTTCTTTAAAGTGAAATCTATAATCAGCAGTTCTTTTTCCTATGATAACACAAGGCCGTGGTCACCGAGGCTGCACTTACAAACAGCACTCCCTGACAGCTCAACTGATGGGACCCAGTGAGATGCACTGATGAGGCTGTGGCAATCCAAAGCAACCTAAGCAGTGGCTACTCTGGCCTGGAGGTGGGAGGCAGCCACAAGACCCATTTGTCATCTCTGTCAGCAGGATTCAGGCTGAGCCTCTGGGACAAACTGACTTTGTTTTTCCCTATCAGAGGCCAGGAAGGAAAGTAGTAGCAATAAATTTCCTCCTTTGGGACACATACTTCAGCTGGGCAAGGAATCTTGCTGATGTTAAGACAGATATGATGTTCACCTCCTAGATTTCTATACCAGTAAGCCTGTTCTGGTCTGACAGAGAAATATTTGGATTTGTGAAGATACCAAACGTGGTAGCTGTGGATCATGCCCCCCCCTCCCATTCCTATCCAACATGGTAACTGTTATGACTATCTCTTGCCTGTGAAGGTTTTAGATCAAAATGTATTCTTAAGATAAATCAACTATACTCATGGGATCATCTGTTTTTATACACAGCTCTCTGTCACACAGTAATATCTAGTAAGTTTTATTTGAGTCTTGCCAGTATGCTGAAACTCTTGTTAGCTGTACTACTGAAGGTAAAGCAGGACAAAAATTTATGATATGAAAATCTATTTCCGTACACCAATCCACAGAATTCAAAACCAGAAGATTTAAATTCTCAAATTGCAAATAGAAAGTTCCCAAGTGGTGTTACAGCCTCCCTAATCAACTAGAGGAGACCTATGCTACCCCAGCACAAACAATACCATAGCAAACAAATTAGTATGATTTTGTGGCACCTCAGGCAGTCAAGCATCAATTGCATGCTATTTAAGTTTTGCATTCTGTGTATCCTAAAAGTAAAGGAAGATCTTCAGCTTGAAAGGTTAAGTATTCAAAACAGCTGCGTGCATTGGAATGTTAGGAAAGCAAAACCAAATGCAAATGAAAGATGACTGAGTAATTAAAATGCTAGGCTGGAAAGATTTTGCAACCCTTTCAGAGGAAACGTATGCTCTTTAGGACTGGGTGTGTTCTTCCACTTTAAGGAATAAAGCCTTTATAATACAAAGCAAAATACAGTTCAGTAATTCTGTCAAAGTTATTTTAAATTCTCCTTAAGGCTCAATTGAGGCCACATCTGTGCGTGTATTAGGACAGAGCTCTCCAAACAACAAACTGGACAGTTCTACTTTGTCTGTCAGGTGGTCATCCTGCAGGGTAACACTCCAGGAAGTATTTTCTTAGGGTTTTCTGGAATTTCCCCAAATAACAAAACAGGAAGTCTAAGACTGATAGAAAGGGCAAAACCAGGCACTCTCTTCTATCACATTTGAAGCTCCATTCCTGAGAGTGACCACCTGGAAATTGAGGTCCTTCCCCTTTTCCACGTGCCCTATATTTGGATACCCTCAGGGTTCCCCAGGGCAGAGGTGGCTTTACTGAAGACTTCCTTCCTGTCCAAGGATTTCTCTTTGTAAACTGAATGGGCTTTCTCTTCCTCAGCTTTCCTCATCTCTGGACATGTGGACATGCCACCCTATCAACTACCCTAAATTTAATACCCTTCCCAACACAGCTTTTCAATTTGATCAAGAGGCAAGAAGCCAGATGTTGCTGAGGTGGCCAAGAAGACAAATTTGTCATGTGGAAATCACTTGCACTCAGTAAACAACTTACAAGTACATGTAGAGGTCCGCATTACTGTAATCAGATTGATTGAATGAATTTGTTAGCTTCAACTAGTCCAACACCAACAAGACCTTTTAAGTTTAAATGTTGCCACTGACATGGGGAGTTCCTTGTCCAACGAGTTCCTTTCCCTGACAACAGCTCTCCAATCCCCCCAACCCTTTGTCCACTAACCCTCTGCAGCGTGTACCACTGTGCAATTACACTGGTTCAGCCAGGCAGGGGATGGTTATCTGTCTGCTTGGCCGATTTTTGGAACTGAAAGAAGATAAAAGTAACAAACTCTCTCCAAACTGGAGTGTATCCTCATCACAGATCAAAAGCATTCTCCAGTACTAAGTGCTAGTACCTGAGTGGAAATAACTCTTGCAAGGCCTTTTGTCAGCTGTTTGTGTGCTGTGTTTGCTGATGAGGCATATGCAGGGCCCAAAGCCTCCCACTTGCTAATTCACCTGAAACAGAACTGAAGCAGACTAGCAGGGGTGAGCGAGTGGAAAAGCTGCTGTTACCTTGGCCCAAGCGAATTCTGCAGTGTCCGTTCAAGGATGTTACCATGAATGAATGCCTGGGAAGTGAGCTATCTCACAACTCCACAGCAATTACCTACGCACAAGCTTTTACTTTGCAGTAAACCTGAGATGACTGAGGTGATTTGCACTGAAGGATAAACAGCTTTGTGTTTAAAAAGGTGGACTACAAATGTGCTCTTGCAAAGTAGCTGAGTTGTGTTCAGCTTCCAGCTCAGCTCACCTTGCAGGACTGTGTTCATGTCACTGTCTCCTACAAGAATACTACAAATACTGTCAATCCACTACTTCTCACCAGCAACAACTCTACTTTAAAAAAATTACCTATTGCAAGAAAGAAAAATACAGTTTTTTAAAAAGTTCATGCTTACCTGGTGAGGTCTGCTTAATTACACGCACTATCTGTTCATTTCTAGGATCCAAGTAGCTCATCTTACTGATATACTCCAGAGCTGCTTCAATACTTCTGCTACCCGTCTGTTTCAGTGCTCGGACAGCCATCTCCTGTATAAAGCAAACAAGAATTGGATCGCATTGAGCCAAATCCCCAGCACTGCACTGCAGGCTAGAAAACAGTAAGCATTCTTACATTTACAGAAACACTTTATAATTCACACCAGATCACAGCTGCCTAAAGCCAAATGGACTCATAATTTGAAAACATTTGCATGTGTTATACAACTCAAAAATTAAAAGTAGAAAATAAAACCCACAACCCACCTAGACTCTGTCAATTAAAGCAGCATCAAAATGAAACGTGTACTCTAGCATTCCTTAAAATAAACTTTGAATCGGGTCTGGAAAAGGCAGCATAGCTTGACATAGGATGGAATAGAATGAAATACTTAGTTTTTGGTATTTGAAAGCGTGTCTCTTAGTCACACCTGAACACAGTAAAAGCTTTATGCTTTCACAGATGCCACAAGAAGCTCATTAGACAGGAGCTGATTTCTGCTGAACAAATCGTGGCCCCACCAGAGTCAATGGGGAAGAAAGACGGCTGTTTCCAGTACAGCTTGGACATCATTCACTACCTGTTTGGAAAATGACTAGCCACACCGAACTGCATTTCACATTGTTAGTCTTTTCAGCTGTCCTTTATTGGACACACAACCACCACTGAGAAGTTACTATGGGTGCCAGACACACACAACCTGAAAACTGAAACTGGGGCAAAGATGGATACTCTAGTTAAACTACTCTAACACAATCATGGTTAGCATCCCCTGCTCTACAGCCAGCACGTCACACTCTCCTGCAGTCTGTTTATACTTTTACTTATAGCTCAGTTACACAGAACACCTTCAGCAATAACTCTAGCCTCTAGTTGCAAAGCAAAATTCACAAATCCTCACAAGACTGCCTGGTCTTTTCGGAAAAGATGGAGAAACTGAAATCCAGAGCTTTCATGTTGAATTCAACTCAATGAACCTCACCCATCAAAAAGAAGATACTTAGTCAAAAGCAGTTGCCGAGAACCTTTCTATACTCACCTCCGAAAGGCAATTAATAAAAAAGAGGTAAGAGGAAATAAACTGACTTCTGGTGACAGAAGATTAGAGGACTAATTTGAACTGGACTCCTAGCTCTTAGATGGCTAAAGTTGGATGAAATTAATGTCACCATCAAGGACTTGCCTGCAAATGTCACAGAATCACAGAATGGTAGGAGTTGGAAGGGACCTCTGAAGATCATATAGTCCAATTCCCCTGCTAGAACAGGATCACCTAAAGTAGATCACACAGGAACACATCCAGGTCGTCTTTAAATGTCTTCAGAGACAGAGGCTCCACAGCCTCCCTGGGCAGCCTGTTCCAGTGCTCTCTTACCCTCACAGTAAAGGATTATTTTCTTATGTTTAGGTTGAACCTCCTGTTTTCCAGTTTGTGACCACTGCCCCTTGTCCTGTCACTGGACACCACTGAGAAGAGCCTGGCTCCATCCTCCTGACACCTGCCCTTTGGATATTTATAAGCATTGATGAGATCCCCCCTCAGTCTTCTTTTCTCCAAGCTCTCTCAGCCTTTCCTCACAAGGTAGATGCTCCAGTCCCCTCATCACCTCAGTGGCCCTGTGCTTGACTCTCTCCAGTAGATCCTTGTCCTTGATCTGGGGAGCCCAGAACTGGACACAGTACTCCTATTATCTTGCCATTTTACTGCCACTTTTAGGGGCAGTTCTGTGCACTGGGTAGCAGTCAGGTAGCCCCAACATGTATGGCTCTTTCCTATATCAGCTGGAGCAAAGAGCGACTTTGCTCAACTCAACTGCAAGTACATGTAACATACTCACTGTTTACTTAGCCAGGGAGGATCATCTCAGATGACAGTAACTCACACTTAGCACAGAGCCACACGCTGGCACTTGGCATTCTGCTTCACTTAGCTCAGTCCCCTCCTACTCCCCCCAAAATGGCAGCATTTTCTCCATTACTCAGAGGTTCTGCTTGGGGAATAGCTACAGCAAGTTTGAATATTTTTCATACAACTTATGACTCATAATTCACAGAAAGGCAGTAGTTGGTTTCACATTTCCTATAGCTGAAATATTTCACTGGCATCAACACATTACTAAAGGCAATTTTAAATCAACAGAAAACTATTATGTATGAAGGAAAGAATTTCCCACAATGTTTTTTTCCTCTCTTTCTTTCTTTTTTCTTCTTCTGGATACATTTCTAAAGTATTAGCAAATTTGCATCCTACTGCTCAGCATTCTCATCATCCAGGGACTCTGGGCTTTACAGCCCAGTTCCACAGGGCTGCTAACACACTCTGCCCATTTACACCAGCTGGATCTCGCCTTAGATCACAAGTCTTAAGTTTCCTAAATCAAATGGGCTCCAAATGCACATTTGGGCTGGCTTGGATATTGGGGTTTTTTTTGGTTTTGTCTGCAGTGGAGTATCAAGAGAATAAATGCTTGGTAAGCAATTATCTTAATGATTAATAAAACAGCCTATATAATCAAATTCTCCCTCTCTTAGCTGTGCTGGCTGTGAACGATTCAAAAGGGCTAAAATAAGTCAGTTTTTCTATCACCAGCACAGTGGTATCATCTCTGAAAACAATCCTTCTTCCCCACAGCCCATACTGTGGCACTACTATTCTCCTCTTTTGCCACTGCCTATGTCAGAAAAGCACAGTAACAATTACACTGATTTATTTGAAGCTGCGTGTTCTACCTTCAGCAGGTGTGTTAGGGGATTCATATTTAAACTTCAGTGGGAATAATGGGAGGGGAAATGCCCAGTACATTTCAATGTGGACTGTATGATAACCTAAGGGGGCCAGCAAGAGCTTGGCACTGGCAGATGTGGCACTGGCAATGTCACCCCCACAAGCCCTCAGCACAGCAGCAGCCCTGTGCTCCAGCTCGCTGCCTCTCATCTTTCAGCAGGTCAGCTCCCACCCTCCAAAGGGTTTCCTCATTACATACCCTGTTTGCTTAGCATTTACATTACTGCTGGAAAAAATGAAGTAAGTTTTTTTGTGGTTCAAAAGAACACCTGCAGTTCCCTTGTACACCATCCCATAGCTTTGGCCCTTTCCCCTGTAGCTATTACGAGACACAAATAGCCCCAGTTTCTGATGCTGGTTCTCAAAAGCCTTGCATCATCTCCAAGCAAATGGAGAGCAACCAACAAAAAATAAACATTGCACATACAAAAGAAAAGGGTTTTTTCTCAGAGGCAAATCACATATAATCATAATTCTCCACCCACGTGACAAATCCCTCTGGGGACACGCGATACTCCAGGAGAGCAGAGAGCAGCACGAAGCTCCAGCACTGTTATGGCTCTTTGGAGGCCTTTGGCCTCCTCTCTGCTGCTTTTCCCATTACCATCCTCCACGGCCACAGCTCGCTCCTCTTTGGCAGCCACAGGAGGAGGGCTCTGCTCATTCCAGCACCTTTTCCTTAGGGATGGGGGACAAGCTGAGGCTCACAGAGGGTGTGCTCTGTGCACCTGCTGGCTAATGGGGCATGGTGGCCCTCTCCTTCCTATGTGCAACACAGCGATGAGCTCTGCTGAGCGAGGGGGCACGGCTGGGATGGGCACCAAAGGGCTGTTCTCCAGGAGCCTGCTGAAGGGGAAGCTGGCTTTCCACTGGTGACAGCAGCCAGAGCCTGGGCTGCATTTGCTGGAGATCGATATTAAGGACTGTTCTAAAGGATGAGAAGAAGGGCAGAAGATGGATTAGGCAGTGTCAGTAACAACACTTGTTGGAAAGCACAGGCTTAAGTGAAATGGAGGGTGTTTGCGAGAAGCAGCAGAATAGCTCAAGAAGAAGGAGAAAAATCAATGCCCAACTCTTACAAACTGATACTGCAGACAGTAGAAGGCTTGAGGAAACAAGAGGACAGACAATGTGCAAGGATAAAAGTGCACAGCTACACTGACACAGATAGAGCTGTCTTGATTTTACGCCACTCTATGGCGAGTACATTATAGAAAGAGAGCGCAAAAAAGACCAGAAATGAGACATGAAAAAAATCCCGCTCGGAGCCATATCCAACACCAAAACATTCAAACAGGCACAGGATCAAATCCAGCTCACACTGAGGTCGACAAAGGTTTCCATTAACTGCAAGGTACACTGCATCAGGCCCTCCCCTTCGGATCGTTTCCTTTTCACCAGGCCAAGACGCTCTCAGCCACAGTACGGCCGGAGAAACCCGGCCCCTGGCTGCGTCCTGCCAGCCCCGCAGCCTGCTGTCAGGCGGTGAGGAGACACACAGGCCACCGGCAGTGCCCACATAACCACGGGGGAACACAGCGGCCCCGGCCCCAACTCGTTCTTTGCATTCTGTATATTCCCTTTGGAGGATTCAAACATCTCTCCTTGCAGGGCTTTTATGCACCTTTTTGCCTCCAGACATCACTGGCTGTTGGTGAAAAAATGAACCAGAAAAAGTCAAGGTGAAAAGCTACAAGGGGAAAACGTGCTTCTACAATTAACTCTAATAATTTCGTAATTAATCTTACATCTGCAATATTTAAATGAGGTTTCAGTGGTCAGCTGTGGTTCTGGGCAGATCTAATGGAAAACCAAAGTCAGGCCATGAACCACAAAGCAGATTGAGGAAACTCTGCAGGATCCCAAATTTGTGGGTTCATAGAGAAAAACAGGGAGGGGGGGTGTTTCCCAGCTATTTCCTACAGCGGGCTACCCGAATCACACAGCTGTACGGTCAACATGCTCTCCGCTATTCCCCCAGTCTCGCACTGGTGGAAGGCAGCTTCCCAAGAGGTTTCCAGATTTTGCTAGAAGGAAGGCCACCTTTGAGCTCAGATGCTCCACAGGGAAAATCCTTGTTTGATGGCAAACAGAAATTTGGATGTGTGCATATACAGACTTCATCTCGCTCTGTGCTCTGTAGGCAATGTGAAAGACTTTCCCCATTTTACCCTCCCGCCTGGCTGTCCTCCACCAGCATTGGCAGAGGTTTGCGTTCTTGCTGTACTACAGGGTTGTCCAGCAACATTTTTCATTCAGAAA